GGGTGTGCTATATTGGGCTTTCAGCTATGGGTGTGCTATATTGGGCTTTCAGCTATGGGTGAGCTATATTGGGCTTTCAGCTATGGGTGTGCTATTGGGCTTTCACCTCTCCAGATCAGTTCCCACTGCAACCACAGGTTTCTTTTTTTCATGGGCTTGGTGCTGTGTACGTATCATCTTCCTCCCCCTTCTCCTTTCCCCCTCCTCTCCCCTCTCCGCGCCTTCACCTCCTCCTCTTCCCCTCTTCTCCTCCTTGCTTGGGCATTTATGCAATTTGCATGTCGTCTGTTCGTTTTGCCTGTCCAGAGCAGGTCTTTCTGGTACCAAAAAGTGGCTGGTCTTGTCTGGGCCCTGTGCTGAGTTTGGACATTTTTTAACCTGCATTTGAACATAACAAAGGTATACTGCAGTCTCGTAGTACATCTGTTTTGGGCGTAGACTCTAGATAAGGTCATAAGTTCAAATCCTGTCACAAATCCTGCCACAGTGATTCAAAGCGGACCAGAGTCGTGCTGTGAAAACCAGCACGAAATCTTATAGAACTCGTGATTGTACGACCCCCCGTGCCCCTACCCCCTCTTTTCGTCCTCGTGTACGGGTGTAAAGTCTGAGCTGATAAGTTAACGTGCTCCTCCCTCTTTCATGTGCACCGATCATCTCTCACTCTGAAGCGAGACTGCTTGTTTCTTCGCTTGTCCGTTTTCTACCCCCCTTTTCCTTCTCTGCATGTTTTGAATTTTTGATTCAAATCATTTTGTGCTGGCAGACCTCTCCATCTTGTCTTGGATAAGATTATGTCCAAGTGACATAACGGTCTGCCATGTGGTTGTCCTCTGTACTGTGTCAATAGGGATGAAGATTGTCACATGTGAACACACTGTAAGAGAAAGCGAGACAAGGACTGAGTTTTATCTATGCACAGAGCTGGCATGCAAGGTTCAGCTTCATACGGTGACACTGTGTCCTCTGGTGTCGTGTCGCTCAGGATAAACGAAGTGGAGCTGCCTTTAAAGGGGAGGAGGTGTATGGTCCAAGGCGAGAGGGGCGTTACTGGGAGGCGGAGGGGGGAGGACAGAGCATAGTGGTAATGTGTTGAAGGTGTGGGTGCCTTTTTTCTCCTGCTGGGTATGGTTGTTGCAAGCCTGGTGGAATGCTGGCTGAAAAAGGTAAAAGTGGGACCTGTATGACAACACGGGACAGGTGGGACAGGTTCCTTTGGAGAATCATGGGGAAGAATTGGCACCTCGTGGACACGGATGAAGGGGTAGAAAGGTAAAAGTAGAGTTGGCGGGGAGTAGGTTTGTTGGAATTTGTCTTGTGGTGTTTTAGACTCTCGCTTCTCCTCCATTTTTGTCAGTTTGGCGTTCAGTTTCGTCACAATTTTGGTCCAATTTGGGTCCCGCTTGGGTCCGGTTCCGAATTTCTGGTGCAGGTACAGTCCAGCTTGGTACTCGGTCTGGTTCAGCTCTGGGTTGGTATTAGCTCTGGCCATACGGTTTTGTTTTTTCTTGATTGGCTGTAGGTGAAGCTTCAGCTTTCCGTATCGTTCCAATTCTGGTCCAATTTGGGTCCCGCTTGGGTCCAGCTCGTCATTTCTGGTGCAGTTGCTGTCCGGCTTTGTTGTTGGTCTCGTTAAATTCTGGTTCGACTCTGGTTGCGTATTTGCTGTCTGGTGGTTTTTCTGGAGTGCCTGTCTGTAGGTGAAGGTGGGGAAGGATGGGGGTTCAAGGGTTATGGGAGCTTGTGGCTCCCGTGGGGCACCGTGTGTCTGTGGAGACTCTGGGCAACAAGAAGCTGGCGGTGGACGCAAGCATCTGGATTGTGCAATTCATGAAGGCCATGCGGGATGAGAAGGGCGATATGATTCGGAATGCGCACCTGCTGGGTTTCTTCCGGCGCATCTGCAAGTTATTGTTTCTGCGTGTGAAGCCCATTTTCGTCTTTGATGGTGGAACTCCGGTGCTGAAAAAGCGCACGGTGATTGCGCGGAAGCGGCTGAGGGACCAAGCACAATCAAATATCCGGAAAACGGCAGAAAAGCTCTTGTTGAACCAGCTCCAAGCAAGGCAGTTGGAGGAGATGGTGCAGCAGGTGAAGGGCGGATCAGCGGGGGTTGAGTCAACCAAGGGTCAGGCTGCTGCAGCCGGAGTGGTGATGGGAGATCCCTCAAGGCCGACTGGCCCACAGACGGTCGAGGGAGAGGAGAGGCAACGCTCCCCGGGGGCCCAAGCAGTAGGAGAAGAGGCTAGTAGGGATGTTGATCGAGCAAGGGGGTCGAGGAGCGGTAGTGCGATGTCATGCGAGGACCGGAGTGCTGAAATGCACGAGGGCCTTGCAGGTGAGGGTGACAAGTGCCCGCAGCAGACCGAGCAAGTTGATGGGAGCAAGCCTGGAAGGAGAGACGGTGGAGATGCAGCGGACCTCGGTGATGACAATGAGGACGATGGAGAACTGGTGATGATGGTTGACGCCCAAGGTTCCCTGGATCCCAGTGTGCTTGCTTCGCTTCCGCCGTCGATGCAGCTTGAACTCATGGTTCAGATGCGTGAGCAGCGGATCGCGGAGAATCGGCAACGATTCCAGAAGGTAGCGGAGGTCCCGGCAGCGTTTTCAGAGATGCAAATGGAAGCATATTTGAAAAGCGTGGCATTTCGACGAGAGCTGGATGACATACAGAAAGCCTGTGGAAATGGGTCAGTGAATGGTGTTCCCAGCGCTCGGATTGCATCAGAGACAGATCGGGAATATATCTTCTCGTCAAACCGTGGGACCTCTAAAGGGCAGCCAGGTGCGGCAGGCGGTGGATCGAACCAGGGCAGTAACCAGGGCAAGTGCAAGTGGGGGCAGTCCGGATGGCAAGGTCAGACGAAGGGACGGGGACGGGGACGTGGACGAGGGAGAGGAAAGTTGCTGGGCCGCGGGTCTGTGCCGTCGTGGCTTGTGTCAGATAAGTTCGCGCGTGATGATCCTGATCATGTTCCCAGTGCAACCGAGTCGGCTCGGATAGCGGGAAAGGGTTCAGGAAATCCTGAGAATGAGGTGGATGCATCATTGGTCGGACCTGGAAGTTTCATTCAGCCAGGGAACTTTGCATTCTTGTTTGCTGGATGCGCGAATACGGGTAACACACATGGAGGGGGGAGAGAGGTGGTTTGTAATGGCCCTGAGAAATCTCTCGACAGGCACACTGAAGGGGATGGGGACAACAGGGAGGGTTGGAGAGAGGAAGGGAAGATGCGGGAGGAGGGTGGTTCTGCAGAGACGCTGCATGTGGGAGAGGAGGTAGTTGTGACGCCGGCTGCGTTCAAGGACCAGCAGCAGCAGCAGCAGGAGTTGTCTGTTGATAGACCTGCCACTGATTCCTATGAGGATGAGAGAGAGATGAATGGACAGGAGGATCGTTCTGCAAGTCGTAACTTGCCCGGCGAAGGTCGTGAGCACCTCAGTTGTACAGAGCAGGGAAAGGCACCGAATGTGCTGATTGAAGTGCTGTTTAAGGTGGATGCAGAGGAAAATGTTACTGACACAGTGGACAACTTCTTCCTGTCGTTGGTCGACCAATGTGCCAGAGAAGGGTCAGCGACTGGTGGTGGCGGACGAGGCACCGATCGTAGTAGTGAGATGGCAAGGGAGAGTCCTATAGGAGGTACAAATGGTGATATGCTGAAGCGAGTGGGAGGGGAGAATAAGCTTGGCAGCCAGGAGCAACAGCAGCCAATGGAAGTGGGGGAGGAAGAAGGGGAGGAGGAGGAGGAGGAGGAGATGGAGTGGGAGGAAGGTGACATTGGGAACCAAGATGTGGAGAGTGGTGATGAGATGACAGCTGGGTCAGTCCCAGAAAAGAGTCTGAATCTGACGAGCGAGGAGCAGGTTGAGCAGAGTCTGAATCCGGCAAGCGAGGTGCGGGTTGACGAGAGTTCGAATCCGGCAAGCGAGGTGCGGGTTGACGAGAGTTTGAATCCGGCGAGGGAAGATCAGGTTTGTTCCAGAGATGACAAACACGACACGGGAGATGACAGTCGTAGCCTGGGGACAGCGACAGTGGCTCACGAAATGGGGTGGGGGGGATGGAGGTGTAAAGGTAACGAATGGAACACCCATGCGTCATGGGGTGAAGGGTCCCAACAGGCAGATCAGACACTTCAGGATTTCAAAGGCAGGGAAGTAGCTTCAGGACAGGACAACGCTGGAAATAGGAAATCGAATGAGGTGGCAGATGAAGATGAAGCATACCGTACTGACACAGCTGTTGGCGAAGATAATTGGTTGGCTGATGACGAAAAGAATGGATTGCAGGATGGCTGGGGCCAGATGCCACGTGTTCCGCGTCAAGAGAGAGGTAAAGGTGAGTTGGGGTGGGGTGCCGCGCTGCCGGTTGAAGATGATGCAGACCGTACTGACACGGCTATTGGGGAAGATATTTGGTTGGCAGGTGAAAAGAATGGATTGCAGGATGGCTGGGGGCCTCTCCCGAGTGTGCCTCGTCAGAGCACTGACAAAGGTGAGGAGGGGTGGGGTGCTGTGCCAGATGTCAGTGTTTGTGAGCCTGATACCAGCGCTTACCAAGAAGATATTAATGGTGCCTATGCTGATGAAGATGTTAGGGATTTGAATATGGCAATTTTTCTAAGCCTGCAGGACCAGCGACGCATGCCGTCTGAAGTGGAAAGCCAGGACGTTGGGAGTACCTCCGGAGACAAGGAGCTGGCCACAGCGGGTGCTGCAGGGGGAAGCGGAGAGGGAAGGGAGCAAGAGGAGGCAGTCGGAAGTGACCAGAGTGGATTAGACTGGGAGGACGGGAGCAGGGCGGTGCTGGTCGGGGATCGAGTGCGTCTTGCGGAGGATGCCATGGAGGGGGTCATGTCAAGCATACCCTCGGGAAATAAGGGTGGCTTGCTGTCGACAGCGGCAACAGAAGCAGAGTTCGGCGGAGCTCCTGGAATTCTGTCGAAGTCAGAGGAAGAGGAACTACAGGAGGCGATTAGACGGAGTCTAGAGGAGACCTGTGCAAGGGCCAAAGGGGACAAGAAGCGGGCAGGGCAGCTGGTCATCGACTGCCAAAAATCATCATGTGAGCAAGGAGATGGTGGGGAGGATTCTGGTTCGATGCCTCCAAGGGAAGTGCGTAATCCCACAACGCCTTGTACATATGGATCTAGAGGAAAGGAGGAGACAGAGGATGAGGTTTGGGCCCGTGAGAGAGCAAGGAAAGGTAAGGCAATAGTAGAGGGAGAAACGATGGAGATGGGGAGGGACAGGGAGGGCATGCACTCAGCAGGTGCTAGCGGGAACGAGTCTCTGAGCAGGTTTGGAAAAATTACGAGGTCGCAAGTTGTTCTGAGGCAAATAGAGGGTACGTCGGAGTGTGGAAGACAGCCAGAGGGAGGGGCGCAGGAGGACGAGAAAGGAGAAGTGGTGGAAATGCCTATGCGTGACTGCAAAGAGCCGATAAATAGTGACGAGAGAGCTGAAGCGCAGGAGGAGGAGGAGGAGGAGGATGAGGAGGAGCTTCGTAGATGGGAGGAAGCTAAGGCTGAGGAGGAAGAAGAAAGGAGAAAGGAGGTGGCGGAAAGCAAGCGCAAGCAGGAAGAAAGAGATAGAGAGGAGGCAGAGGCTCAGGCAGAAATGGAGCGGTTAGCTCAGGAGCAGCAGGACCTGAAGAGGCAGCTGCAGTCTGACGAAGCTCTTATCGAAAACTGGGAGAGGCAGAGAGAGGATATCCTTCAAGAGGAAGCGGAACTGCAGTCGGCTCAGCGAAAGAATGAGAGGAACGCGGAGTCGGTGTCTGGCGAGATGTTTGCCGAGTGCCAAGACCTCCTGCAGCTTTTTGGCGTGCCGTTCGTCATTGCCCCGATGGAAGCTGAAGCTCAGTGCGCTTTCCTCGATATGACATCGATGGTGAATGGAATTGTGACAGATGATAGCGATGTGTTCCTCTTTGGGGGCAGGAACGTGTACAAGAACATTTTTGATGACCGAAAGTACGTCGAGACTTACTACATGAAGGATGTGGAGAGTGAACTTGGGTTGGAGCGGGACAAGTTGATTAGGATGGCTCTCCTCTTGGGCAGTGACTATACGGAAGGAGTGAGCGGGATAGGCATTGTGAATGCTATTGAGGTTGTGAATGCGTTTCCTGAGGAAGACGGGCTCCATAAGTTCAGGGAGTGGCTTGACACTCCTGACCTGTCCTTCTTAGACAAACGCCATGGAGGCCAGCTCGACGTTGAAGCGGAGACGCTATCAGACACAGATCCAGTGGCTGTCAGACGACGGGTCTTCATGCACAAACATCGTGCGGTCAGCAAGAACTGGCGTGTTCCGGAGTCTTTCCCGAGCGCAGCGGTGATCCACGAGTACAAATTCCCACAGGTCGACCGTTCGACAGAAGAGTTTGCGTGGGGGCGACCAGACGTGGACAAGCTGAGGGCGTTTTGCTGGGAAAAGTTTGGCTGGAACAAAGAGAAAGCAGACGAGGTGCTGCTGCCTGTAATGAAAGCTGTCGATTCCCGTCAGACGCAGTTGCGCATCGACTCATTTTTCAGCTTCAACGAACGTTTTGCAAAGTTCCGGAGCAAGAGGATTCATAAAGCTGTGGCCCAGATTACAGGGAAAAGCAACCCGGAGATCGCCCTCGATCACCCATTGGAGTTCGTTGAGCCGCCGCCAAAAGACTCGAAAAATGGGAGGAAGAAGAAAAAGTCTTCTGCGGCTTCTGCGATGGGCACAGCAGATGCGGCCGCTGCAGGCAAGGAGGCGTTTTCGGTGAATAATAATGACAGGTCAGAGGGGCAGGGCACAGCCCAATGTACATCTTCTCAGGACCGGGGATCAGGGGGCGTGCCGTGTCTTAGCAGTGAGATGGGCACAGGGTTGGCCAGTAGCAAAACTGTCAGAAGACCTCCTCAAATGAAGAAGCGGGAAGCGAACGGGGGGAATGACAAAGGAAGGGGCGGAGGGAGAAAAAGGGTTGCAGCGCCGGCTTCAGACGCACTGCCACGGGAGGGAAAGAGGTCTCAAAAAGAAAGGGATGAACCCAACATCAGCGAAAGCGAACCTGAGTTGGAAGCGGAAGTGGATGTGGAGATGGGGACACATGCCAGGACTGTCAAGCCAAGGAGGTCCACCAGGCAGAGGACCCAAAAGGTCACCTACAGAGATGAATCAAGCGACGATGGCGAAATGACCTGTGGAGGAGCACCAAAGCGGGGAAACAGACACGATTCTGTTCCCGGCGGCTCTCCTGGAGAAGAGAGTGACGACTATAACCCTGATGATGAGGAGGAGGGTCGGCGTAACTCTGCCGATGTGAGGCACTACGACACGGGCGCTTCAGCCGAAAAACATAATAACAAAAGCAGGCGTAGTAAACAAACTGCTCAGAATCCCGCGTCCAAGGGAGCCAGAGTAGGGGAGCTTTCAAGAGACCCGCCGAAGGAAGGGAAGGGACAGCCTTCGCCTGGGACGAGGGGAGGACAAGTGCCAATAGCCGAAGATGCTCCCACCGGCATTGTAGAGGCAGCTGGCGATTGTCAGGGCGTTAATTCAGCACCTCTGGAACGATCATCTCTGTCGACACTTGAAAGCAATTTGGATGGCACTCATAGGATGGAAGATTTGGCCTCTGCCGTTGATGCGAGGGTAAAAAAACAATGTCCAGGTATCGTGTTCGAGGAGATCGATTGCTGTTTTGTTGGGCTTCGATCGGTTGGAAGGGACCGAGATTCGGATTTTGCCGGGGACAGTGTGGCCAGTGCCCTTATGTGCGGTGGTGGGTTTTGTGCAGATGAGGATGATGAGGGAGATGAACCTTACGATGGGAAGGAAGGTGGTGTGGGGGTTGATGGAGACGGAAGCTGCATGGAAGGGGATGGGGTTTGGGGGGAAGGGGAGAATGTGGGGTGTCCGGAGTCTAGTGATCGAGAGAAGGTAGACGATGCAGTGGAGAGAAGGGGGAGACAAAGAGATAGGTGCATGCCTCATGGCAGCTCTCCTTGGGGTGCAAATAGCAGCTTTTGCTTGCCGCTGCCACAGAAGAATTCAGGCGACTCTGCTATGGTTTCCGTGGGTGATGCAACTGACGGCAGAGGGAAGGCTGGTTCTGAACACAGCAGAATTGTTCCCCCTCAAGCAATGGATGCACCGAACGGCCTACGACAGGAAACTGAACAGGTGGTCTTGACGGAGCGACAAAAAAGTGTCGCATCAAAACCGACGCTTTTCATCGGCCCCAAAGGGAGTGCTTCATTCAAGTCTCATCGCCTACGTGAATGCCAGGTCAGCAAAGAAGTAGAAGACGGCAAAGTGGGTGCTGCTTCGAAGGAGGGTCCTCCACTGCCAGGTGCTGTGGGTGGTACGAGGGATCAAATGCAGAAGACTCCCCTTGTGAAGGAACCCCCACTTGCTGGATCGATGGGTTCATTGGGAAGGAAGCGGTCACGGAACACCCTTGATGCTAATCGATGAAGTACACTGGTATGTTGTTGGTGTGAAGGGTGGCAGTACTCCCCCCTCCCCCTCCATTCCCCGCCCCCACCCCCCTGCCTAATGCTTAAAGGATGGAGTGTTCTGGTGTTCGGATAGCGTGAATGCTGGAAGTCCACCCCTTCGCTGTGGCCGATTTGCAAGCCCGGGGCACCTTGTGGCCGTGCTGTTGAGAATGAGAATGGACGCTCTCATCTGAGTGCTATATGCCAGATGATCAATCTCATTCCTCACTAATGATTCCCTGCTGTTTGCCCTGTGGCGGAAGATGTGCGGCTCACAGAAGCGCAGCGCTTTAGACGCCATTATCGATTCACTGCTGTTTCCCCTCTTGTGGGTGACGATTCGTGGTCCACGAAAGTGCAGTGCTGCTGCAATGCTGCAGACACGATCATCGAGTTTCTGCCGGTCGCCCTGTGGGTGACGGTTCGTGGTCCACAAAAGTGCAGTGCTGCAGACGCGATCACCGATTCGCTGCCGGTCGCCCTGTGGGTGATGATGATGCGTGTGCCACAAAAGTGCAGTGCTGCAGACGCCATTACCGATTCACTGTTGTTTGCCTTGTGGGTGATGATGATGCATGCTCCACAAAGTTGCAGTGCTGCTGGTGAGGGGAATGGCTTCCAGAAAATTGTGAAGCGGAGGGGAACTATCGAAGAAGAATCGGCAGCAAGCAGGTACCCTTGTTGCTGGTATAATTACAGGAGAGTCGAGTGGACTGCAGGTTGTTGCAGGCATTTAGCATAGCACATAATGTAAAAGTCTTCGACTTCGAGTCAATTGCTATACAGCCTATACCTAGCAACATTGTGCTCAATGTTCATACAATTTTAACTGGTTCAGATTCCTCAGAACACTCAAAAAAACCATGATCCAAGAGAAGGTTCGCATCCGCCATCTACCTCTGTTGGTCGGAACGAGTCACAGCGGCATGTTCGTCGAGCCGAGAGAAGGTTGGTATCTCCCGTCGATCAGGACTGGAATAGTCTACAGCGTAATTAATGGTCACTCTCTCTCAACGATGAAGAAAGGCTTCCGCGGTCTGCGGATGCCTCAGCATCGAGATCAAGGGTCTGCGGATGCCAAGAGGTGAGTCACTTTCCGAGCGACTCTACTCGTCAGGTGCACGGTGCGAGGCGAACTGCACTGCGCTGCACTGTGCATGGCACCGCTCGGCCGCAAGTATGGTCTACATAGAGACCGCATGAAGACGTACGGACGAGTTACGATGGCGTCTCTGCTGTGACCGTGTATGTTGTTGTTGTGGCCGGGTTGCAAGGTTAAGATGGGAAATCCGCTCGACGAACTATGGAACTGGATATGGTGCTTGTGGCACTCTGGATTTCTCAGGCATTGTCAATATGAACGACATGGTGCCAAAGCAAAGGTGGAAAAAAAGAAGACATGGTGCCAGTGTCATGGATCTGGTGGGGAATCTTTGAGCCACTGTATGGCAGGAGTGATTGGCTCGAAGATTGTCATCATCGATTGGCAGGAGCTAGTTGAAACAGCCCCTCTGCTGTGACCCTTTTTTTTTTTTTTTTTTTTTTAACAAAACCCGGGTTTGCTATAGGCGTTGGTAAGAGCAGAGGTGCCATGTGGTGTTTTTTTAAAAAAAAAACAAGTCACAGGGTGTTTTTCGACGGGGAAAGCAGCTTGAAAAACAATGCAATGGATATATGGCGATGGGTGTGGTTGCTTGTGGCAGTCTGTCTTCCTCAGCGATTGGTTATACAGGCGACAGGATGACCACCGAGGAGACGAACGTGTCTTCGCTCGGAACGCGAGAGTTTTGTTCACTCGGAAAGATTTGGAAAACCTTGAATAAATGTGATTGTTGCAGATTTTGTAGATATATTTCTGTAAATGCGATGGCGTGCTGGGCGCATCTGTCCCGACACAACTATGTATGGCGAAGCGATGACGAGTGGTGGTGTCATCGTATCTGGTCCTTTAGAACAGAAGGCTGGCAACTTCTGATCTCTGATAGGGTTGTGAACGACCTGCGCAACCCCCACCCCCCTTCCCCCCCTGCCCCCCCTTCCCCGATTGTGTAGGTGAGATCTGAATCTCCGCGCTTGTGGCGATGCTGGGGGTCTGAATATCGGCGTTTGTGGCGATGCTACCATCCAGTATTGGGAAATGGGAATGGTGGTATACGTCAGGAGAAGTTTTATTTCATGTAATTCAAAGACTGTTGGGTAGGGAGTAGCCCATATTATTTTCAAATGCTCCCACCGTGCACTTGTGTACACCTCTTTGCTGCTATCATCCAAGCTCTTTCTACACAGACATTGTACACTATTTTGTAAATTGCAAGATTGCCTCATCTTCCACACAAGGCATACCATACTCCGATGGTGCACATGGTGGTTTCACTCTGTGTGCATTAAGTTTGTGTGTGGAGAGAGCGAGAGAGAGCGAGACACACACAGAGAGAGAGAGAGAGAGAGAGAGAGAGAGAGAGAGAGAGAGAGAGAGAGAGAGAGAGAGAGAGAGAGAGAGAGAGAGAGA